TCTGTTACATAGCGGATCATAATGACCCCCAGTGGGGGTCTTCACGCTTCGTTAAAAATTGAAAAATCTCAATATTTTAGACGAAATCTTGAGATCTTATGAGACAATATTGAGATTTTTTATGACAATCTCCAGATCTTTCAGAAAATCTTAGGATGAAAAGAAAAGGTCTTACGATCTTTCCAAATGTTTTCAAAGTACCTTGAGATTTTTCCATAGCATCTCGAGATGCTTTAAGAAATATCAAGATTTTTTAAAGCAATCTTGAAAAAACGTGAGATCTTTTAAACAATCTTGATATTTTTTGAAGCATCTCGAGATGCTTTGGAAAAATCTCAAGATACTTTGAAAACATTTGGAAAGATCTTGAGACCTTTTGTTTTCATCTCAAGATTTTCTGAAAGATCTGGAGATTGTCATGAACAATCTCAAGATTGTCTTATAAGTCAAGATCTCAAGATTCCGTCTAAAATATTGAGATCTTTAGAATGAATCTTGAGATTTTTCAATTTTTAACGAAGCGTGAAGACCCCCACTGGGGGTCATTATGATCCGCTATGTAACAGAGAAGTTTGTGACAAAAGATTGGATATGTACCTCTAAGCTGTAAATAGTCAGAGGCATTAGTCCAAAGTGCTCTGCTCATTCCAATAATAATCTGCTCGGTGTTATGTACACTGTATAGCCAGTAGTGGTCGAAAACTGTCTTGCATTCTTCAAAGTAGCATTATTGAAGACAGCAGAGAACGTAGTAAAATTAAAAAGAGTGCTTTCAGCAAAATCATATCCAGTTGCTTGAGTAACTGTTTTTTTTTTTGCATAAAAAGAGTGCTACTACTAGTACTAGGAACATTTTTCTAAAATCACATCAATTCTGAAAGGAAAATAAACTGTAGTTCAGGTAAAACTTGTCTGGTACAGGTAATTTTGAATGTTGCTTGCACCACTGCGGGTATGCAGAAAAATGATTTCAAGCCCTGAGTAGTGTAGGGAATATGAAGAAGTCTCCATCTTTTTATCCCTACTTCATTATTTGAGTGCTTGTGCCAGGTGGACCTTCCTCCTCTGACCCTGAACTAATGAGAGTGCCATCCCCTGTGAACCAATGGCGGAAATTTGTTAATTTTCCTTCCAATTGATTCCTGTTGTAAGGTGCCTGGCCAATCAACATGATTGACACCTGTCAAGAAGAAAGTGCAGGAAGCGCTAACCTATCAGGAGAGAGGGGGACGGGGGTTAAAACTGTTTAAGATCTATTTCTATGCACTTAAATCTGTTTGACAACTTTCTGTTCTATACAACTTTGTAACTAATGCCAAGGAAATCATTGTATTTTAACCCTCTTCCTACCACGTAACCCTATAAGCAATTCAAATTTGGTGCCAGACTCCTATCTTAGCAGGCTGAAGGTTAATACATGTAACAGTTCAACTTCAAGGAGATACCGCCACTTCCAGGCTTCAGTTTCTATATTATATAATCACCATAAACTTTTCCAGGTCTACATGAAACTCTGAATATCAACTGTCCCTTCCTTCTATCTTTATCTATAAATAAATTCCTCTGGTTGAAAATTTCTAGATAGCGGTTTCAGGAACGACAGGCTGCCTTTGAAAAGGGATGAAACTTCCTTTTTCTCCACTTGAATCACAAAAGCAAAGTACGTAATTGGCATGATCAAAGAATAACCCAACACTTTAATTTCCCATCCCCGTGCTGAACCATTGCCAGAGGCAAGTCGGGGGCTTTTCTGGGACGTTGTCCTGTGATGTTTGATCCTGGCCAAAGTGGGGATGACAAGATAAGTTTTTAATTTCCTCCTGCAGGATTTTTGTCCTTCCTTCATCTGGAAGTAGTTGCGTATACATGTTTTTGTATACATGTACTAGTAGGTGAGACGGGGTTGCAGTTTAATACCAGCACCAGGCCGCAAGTGCAGAAACTTTCAACCAAAATAGCATCATGTTCACATTTGGAACAAAACTTGACATAAAGCTAACCTATCAAAAAGAAATTAGGTCCAACATTGGAACACAGATTACTGCAACAAAACTGGAAGCAAGAATCTTGCATTGCATAATGGGTACACCTGTTAGACATGACAATGAAGAATTCTAAACATAGACTGCCATAGAGAATCTAAACAGAAGAAGCAATTGTGTCCTGGCTGTTAACTCTCTTTTATTCAGAAATTTGTATCATAGCAAATTACATAAAAAGATCAAAAGTTAGATGCTGAAAAGTGAGATATAACATTTAACCGTACCTTTATTTGTGGCCTTAAAGCACATTTCTACACTCCTCATGTTTTCAATGTTCCGAGACTGTTCGTCTGTCCCTGACATTTCACATCATCCACACGTCAGGACAATGCCTATTTTTTCCTCTTACCTGGCCTTTCTACAGTTTATTATCACTTCAGAATACCCATCAGCTTATCTGCATCATTAGAAAAGGGAAAACATAAAACACCAGTCCCACACAAATCTTCAAAATCCCCTCACCCATCTTCTTCTTGACTAATTTCTTGCTCCATACAATTTTCTGCTTTTCTTGGGCAAGAGGTCAAAAATGAATAGCCGTGCAAAAAATCAGAGTGGCACTTCTATGTTGAGATAACTCCGCTCTGAACCCTGCCAAGCCTAAACTGTTGTCCATGTGACTTAGTATAACGCACGTGTAATCTCCCTCCCTGCAATTTTGTGCCTTCCTTTGTGCGGCATGAAATTTGTAGTGACAGTCCACTGGCCAGTGTCGGAGCATGATACGCACCCAGCCGATGATACACTTGTCCTAGAGTGAAAATGCAGGTCAGGGTGCACATTTGGAGAAGGCGAAAATTGCCTCTTTTCAGGTGCTTTCCGGTAAAAAACGTCAATGGACCTGCCATGAGTTGTCAGAGATAAGGCCACGAGAACGGGTGTTTAGGACGAAGAAAGTTGCCGGGATTACTAGAGGAACGCTGGAATAATTTGCATACGAAATTTCTCCTGTCTACAACGACTTTTCAAAGGTTACTCTGGGTACGGACTATAACTCCTCCAAAACTGGCATGAAAAAAAACAGGACAAATACTGTCATAACTTTTTAGCAGGATTCTTAATGTCATACTCTTTTATATGTATATATATATTTGCTTACAGTTTTTTTAGAGACATTTCTTAGTTCCCGTACCTGAGGCAGTGTGATACTCGGCATCCTCATAACGCCTCTTCAGAATTTACACAGATAACTAAACCCCGTCTTTTTATCGCTCCAAATGAAAGCAGTGTTTTACACAAAGTCAGGAAGTTGCGGCGGAGTTTGCCATGCGTAGAAATTGTGGTGACAAGAGACTGGGCAGTGTTAGGAGGAGATAGCAGTGGGCTTGGATGATACATGTGTAGCACAGTAGGCGGCACAGTAGGAGCATGGTTCCACAAGGCTTCCTGCAGGGAACTGTCATATATCATTCCTGGGGGAGCCAGATAGTGGTAAGCCTTTAAGAAGAGGCTGTTCTTTGTGTGGTATTATGCTACTTCTGTAATATTAAGGCTGCTTGAAGCTCGCACAGTCTTAGCTTGTAAGTTATAAGTATGTTTCAGAGACTTAAAGCTGATACGGACATGACAGTACTTATTACATGTATATCAGAGCTACAGCAAGTCACGTAAACATTTTCACACTCAAGACTCAAATAGAAGAAACATGTGATAGTGATATGACATAATGGCACAAAGAAAACTTCAAACTCCAAGTTAACAAAAAATTGATCTGTCATTACGAAAAGTGCTGAGAATAAACATGCGTCAGAGATATCTTTCCTTAGGTTCTAAGTTTGCAATGTGCTGTCCACTTTTCTCCGCTGCGTTGCACATACATACAAGGCGATACAAATCTTATGAAAGTTAACTTGCACTTCTGGACACTTCACATGATGGATTAACAGTTGTGACAAATGTAATTTCTGGGTTTAGTTCCTAAGTCCCTGTCCGGATGTCCTTGCTTCGCCCATATCCAGACCACAGGTAGGGATTTAATTGCAAACGTACTACAAGGAGGGGATACCCTCACTCTAGATATCACTGCAATTTCGTCCAGGCTACCGAGTGATAGGATCACATAACGCTAATACCAGGGCTTTGTGTATTCTCTCTAACATCTGCGGAATGAAAGAGACAGATTCACGGGCATTACGTTTTTGGGCAGAAGGATTAATGTGGACTTTTGATGAATGGCGGTCATGTTGAAGGCAGGAGATAACACACATGACAGACATTGGGTGGGCAGTGGGAGGTCGCACGGCAGTTTCCCAGTATGGCACCACTGGTGCCGAGTGTCCGATCCTTGCAAATACTTTGATCTTCCTCAGTCTGTCCTTGAATGTTGGGAGTTTACTGAGTTCGGTCAACTCTAACATGGAATTCTTCTGTAACATCTTTGATAGTGTTACATGTGCAGCAAGAAATGAATGGTGGTTTAGGGACTTGGCTTTCTTGCTGTTGGGATGCTTTCTTTTTAATCACCGACGATAGCCTACAGTTGTACAATAAAACGCAACACTTTGTAAGAATGATGCCAACTTTGTGCCTCGGGTCGGGATACATCATTTTACGTCCAACTTTCTTGTCTGTCCCAGTCTTGAGCATACATGGATGACAGCTACATGTACTAACATTTTGCAATTTAAATATTTTGTATCAATACTTTTTTTTTTACATTACTGGTATACAAATACAAAACTAAGTGTCAAAAATTATGAGAAGCAAAATACATATATTGATCTTACTTCTAATGCTACAATGTAAATCTATTACGTGGGTTCTAAACTACTCTAATGCATAGGTTCAGCTTCTCATCTCTTGGTGATGTTAAATACGTTAAGTTTGAGATGGGTTTTACCAAAGTGTATCACCTTCTGGTAAATGCTGGAAAATGTAAGACAATTTCAGACTACTTATGATGGTGTTTTTCTTTGATGTTGATAGATTATAACCGTATTGTACATTCTTGTGTTACAGGTACAGTGTGAGGTGTAAGCGTGTGGATGCTCGAGGGAAGCCCACACTGCTGTTTGACATGGAGGTGTGTCAGATGCCCAGTCCCCAGTCTAACCTGCTGGGGGTCCGCTGTAAGAGGGTGAAGGGAGACACCTTCGACTACAAGAAGGCCTGTGAGGATGTGCTGAGAGGGGCTAAACTCTGAAGCTCATGTCAGGTTCGTATTTATATAACTCAGGAGTCTGTGTGAGTGTGTGTGTGTGTGTGTGTGTGCCTGTGTGAGTGCGTGTGTGTGTGTGTGTCTTGTGTCTGTCATCAAGATAACTCAAGAATGGTTGAACAGATTGGTTTCATATTTGATGAGTTGGTAGGGTGTGACAAATACTAGAAATGATTTTTTGCCCCCTGCTGGTTTTCCATGGAATTGCAGCAGAACTTCCAGTTCTGATATCTCGTCTTATGGACCACCTCCTAATAAACAGTTCTGGCGACAAAACTTTGCTGTGCCTTGTCAAGAGGAGGACTGATGATGACGATCATCATCATCATCATAAAAAAATCATAAAAAAGGCATAAGATTAGCACATAGTGCACAACGCTGTTGGTGACTTGCACAGTTTCACTGTTTCACAGGAAGAATCAAGACAAATTCTTGGCCAATGATCTGTGACAACTTGTATTTACAAAGATGCTCGCACTGATATGATTTCTCGATAAACCCTGATTCCTGACACCCAACTTCTGCTCGGTTCAACGGCGGCTAAAGTACCAAAATATTTGATATCTCTGACAAAAACAATATGTCGCAATTACCAGGACGCCTGTCCCAGCCCTCCACTTCAGACTTCATGGAGGTAAAATCAGAGCGACCTTCAGACTCCCCCTGTGACCTTTGTTTCACCACTGATGGTTATAAATCACCTATTACCCGTCATTTGTCGCCACTGTCTGGCCAGTAATATGCTCCAGACTGCCTTATAATAATTTATATTGAAGCCACAAAAGTGGTATAATGAGTGGGACACCCCTGGTGACTGTTGCTGGGGTGCATTTAATGACCTACCTTTGGGAGAAGTCAAGTGCCTGCTGCTGGTACTTTTCCACAGTTTCCTCCTGTCGTTACTCACTTCGTATTTCGGGCAGCGGCGTGTGTTTCTGTGCCCTTGAAAGAGAAGCGCCACAAGGACATCTGTTCTATCCTCCTGTCAATGATTTAGTGTCTGGTACATGGTTGACTGAACTAGTTCTCAAAATCTTTGATGTCAAAGTAACTTTGGAAAACAAGTCACAGAAAATATGATTGTTCGAATTCTTGTGGTTTTTCTCTGATACGACTGTATTAAGTTGCTGATTTGTTTATACCTTCATTACCACTAGGCCAAGTTTCCTCAGTGCAATTTCATTTATTAGCTAATTATAAGGTCCTCAAAGTCAAACTGAAAGTATTGATGGTCCTAGTATACTCCTTGAAGCAGAATTCTATTAATAATAAATAACTATTATTAACTTCTTGACACAATAGAACATTCAATTAAGTTTAAAATTTTGCAAACCAACATACCAAGGCAAAGATTGGAAGAGTGAATATATTTTTAGAAGATATATTCACAGATATATTCACAGAGTCCAGCAGTGCAAGTCAAGTGCATGTACAAGTCTGGCCGTGCCTAGGTTTTTCAGGTGTGCACCCACCCACATCGTGTATGTCAGGGGCACCAATTTCCCACCAAGGCCCAACAGTTGTATCATCTCACTCAGGACCATTACAGGTCCTCTGTCATCGCCCCCAAACCCAGCAGCCACCAGATTGCGTCCTACAAGGTGCAGTCTCCACCCAAACGCGGCTGTTTTGCCAACGACGGCGACTAATGATCAAACACGTTTTTAAGCGGTGTTGTAATGCAAATAGAGAGGTGAGGGCACCTGGGAGGAAAAGGTGGTCAAACGGCCAGCTGGTGCTTGTTGGTGGTGTTTGTACCAAATACAGGGTAATGTTAGAGGGGAGTGGTGCAAGACTGGGGATGATGGGGTCACACTTGTAGAGCAGATCGCTGCCACCAAAGTCCCTGGCATCTCAGTACTCTGCCAATGATATTTCATTCCATGATTGTACAACATGTAGTGTATTAGTACCGGTTTGTTCAGAACATTTTGAACAAAACGTCCATCATCATCTGTTCAAAATCAGGGATTAGATCAGAAATTTAAATTTGAACACGTTTTCCTGACCAATCAGGCTGCTTGTTAGTTCTTTACTTCTCCAACAGAATGCACGCTGCTCCATTTTGACGGGAAGTGTTTTTCCTGTTTGTTTTAAAAATTTCTAAAGCTGTTGGAACATCTTGAACTTGAAGGTCAAGAGAAGAATGGGGCTCGTTGTTCGCTGTATTAAAAGGGGTCAACATTCCCTACTTTTCTGCACAATTTGGCACACTGCTGCCCGAGGAGGAAAATAAGTGGAACTGCCCAGGTGCAAGCCATTTGCCATGTTGTGACTGAATACGTTGTAATGTTAGCAGGGTGATCTCACAAGGAGGTCACCTTCTCAAAGAGTCCAGCTGGGATCAACTACACGTACATCTGTACTCAGTTCTCTTATCGCGTTTCTGGAAGTTATCCTTGATAATGGGGTTGGCAGATCAAGTCTGACTTCTGACAAAAATCTGGGTACAGATCTTTTTCCCATTATCCATTTAAGGGATAATCTGTTGATTACAGTGATAACTCCTTGCAACGTACATGATAATGTGGATGTAAAGAAAGTCTATGTCCTATAGAGTTGGCAGAAGATCTCTATTTATTCCAGCTATTAACACATATTTGAATTATCAATTATGACATCTGTCCATCTTTTTTTTTCTTTCATTCTTCTCACTTCTGAGATATTGTTCAGCTAAACTTATTGAAATCAAATCTGTACCTTTATTCCATTTAGGAAGGCTTAAACTCACCAATATTTTGTGATGCTTCCTTTTACTTGATTTAATTTCTGCAACTGTGTAGGGCTCACATTGTATCATTGCTACTTTTCGTCTTTTCTTTTAATCAAAATCTCTTCCCCTGAAAGAAATACTGCTTGACTCGCTTGCTTCTTGACCCCAGGCGGAAGTAGGCAGAAGGTACCTTTCACCTTCCCGGGGCAGCTGGGCTTGTCGCTTCCCGGTCCTTTTGAAATGTTAGTGGAGGTAATTATGATGCTGTTGACAAGACGGAAACAAGCGGGGCAACTGTGCTGGAAGGGCAGAGCCGTCAGTTTCTAGTCGGCGTGGGACTCGGTGGAGTCAACTCCAAGGACCAGCAGCCCAGCCTGTTTGTCAGGATTGGGGAGTCAAACGTGGGTCATTCTCAGAACAATTCTCCTGGCTCCACTAGCTAGCTGTGCAGACTTCCTGGGACCATGTTGTATTCTCATAGCAGATACACACCTATAGATTTAATATTAGTATTACATATTTTTTTATAGCTGGGCTGTGATAATGTTCAATATGGGTGTTCTGACCTGTGTGATAACTAACTGTATCATACAGGTTCTAAGGGGTAATCACAGCCTTAAAACCAGCCTATTGATAGCGAGGACCAGCCTCCAATGTGAAATAAGCAACCATTTTCCATCAGCGACATCGCATTTTTGCCTCATATCAGTATGCGGTTGATACAACTACTACTACATTTTTAAAAATCCCAGAAAATTGACGTCAGTTTTACTGCCATTAAATCGTTTTGAGTACGTGCCTTTAAGGTTGTGTCAGGCCAAACCAACATTTGGTTGCAGTGCTTCATCACACTCTCCAGTTACTGTGCAAACTGTGTAGTCACTGACCCATCTGAACACTGCAACATGATATCCCAAAATCTGAGGCTCCTTTGGAGGTTCGCTGGCACCCATCCCTGATTTATCGAAAAATTGAAACATGGTAACCCAAAATGAGGCTCCTATGGGGTATCACAATAACCACTGACCTATATTTCAGCTAAAAACTGAAACTTGATATCCCATAAACTGAAGGCTCATATGGGGTTCTCCTGTACCCATTTGCCTATGTAAAAACTGGAACCCCTTATATTAGCTGCAAGCTTTAGGCTTCTGGAAACTGGAATACCTTCAAAGGTTCTGGTGCTTCATGTTAAGAGTACAACCAACCCCTGGAAGTATCCCCCAGTATGTTCAATATGTCATCAATAGCAAGAGAGCTTTTTTTTCTCCAGGTACCTGCTTTGACCTTTTTTGTCCACCAAAAACACAAGGCGGATTACGTGATATACACAAATGTGTGATAAGTGTATGTACAGTGGAATGGGCCAAATCCACCTTCAATCTAAAGAAATCTGCTATTTGGGAATAAAGCCAAGCCCATATCCTATCAAACGTACATGTACATGTAAATTGTACGATGTGACATGGATGGGAAAGGGCAGTGCCGCTGTGTTTGGGGGTTCCGAGAACCTCTTTGGGTGGTGACCTCAGTTAACACTCAATTTCAGTGCTGATGATCCTGAACTCTATTGAGGAAATCCAATCATTATATGCCATTTGCACACACCCAGCCAGCCATTCTTTAGCCAGGCCAGTCCAGTTTATTCAGCTGTTTATAGCAATACTAGCTGTACAGCATTTCATGCAAGTTTCGCTAATCAGGCTTCAACCAAATTTCTAAAATTGCAAAATAAATCTTTTCCTCCGTAGAAGTTTTTGATTCGGGAATAGCACTCAACGCTCATCCTAGATTGTGTTAATGTTCTAATAGTAATAGCCAACTGAGAATTACTTACATTTAGTTGTTCTAAATCTAATGCATCATCTTGTTATACTGGTTACCATATGTAGCATTCAGACGATCACAGGCCTACACTTGAGCAAATGTGCAGTTGTACGATGGCATTAAGGCTCCATCAGCAGGGTAATACCAGCTCCCATGCTCGTATCAGACCTCCACAATGATCATGGCTTGTCTCTCAGCTCATCCCTCACCCAATGGGAGCGCCAATCACACACAGGACTCGGCAGAAGTCACCGTATTATCTCCCACAAGCAGAAATAAGCTTGTTCAATGCAGTCCAATTGCCGGGAGTCTTCTGGGTGCTTTGTGCAATGATGCCGATGTTAGCAAACAATTTATGCCATAATGGCAGTAACCTTGTCTGTCGAGCTGGTTGACTGAATACGTGTGCCACCCAACTGCGGTGATGATCATGGTGGAACAAATCGTTCAGGGATTTAAACCTCGCTGTAAGGAGATGCCATATTGGAAGTATCCAGTCATCATCATTGCCCTTACTCTTCATGACTTTTAAAAAAGAAAAAGTAAAGACCGTGACTTCTCTTACAAGACTGGGTGGTTGGTTACAGTATGTTGCATACTGCATTTTGGATGATTAAGAAATGCATCTTTTTCTTGGCAAGTTGGATTAGTTTTTGGTTTGTGAATTTAACCAGTCCTCATACAATTACAAATGTTTCTAAAATGATGTTCTGTTGAGAAGAAGAAAAAGGGATCATTATTCCAATTACAGTAACTGGTTTCATCTCAATAGCCACTATATGAAGTCTGACACTGCATAGTTTTGACATTTATAAGCTTTCAACTAATTTCAACAAAGTGCAGTGAGCAATTCTAAAAGATTAGGCCATCTTTTTTACCATTGCTCTTAAGAAACCAACACAATGTGTGGCAGGTGAGAAATTGATAGTACTGTAGTACGTATCAAGAAGGAAAAAAAAAGATAAAAGAAATGACAAGGTTGAACTCCTTGGATAACATTACCTTTCCTGTGGATATCTCACACAGTGTTTAGATAGATCTGCAGCCAGCATATTACATCCCATCTTTGATATCCCCTGTTCCAGAACGCTGTTAACACCCAATTTACGGTTTGATGAGGCTGTAGTCTTTGGAGGGGACGACATGATTGGTTTCGGTTAACAGACTGCCTCCCACCGTGTGATAAACCACAGAGAGTGTGGCGTGACGAAGGCAACACCCGACCACGGAATCACAAGTCCTTCACCCTTCCCTCACACACGGGTCTCCTGTGGGCCGGCTAACCTGCACTGGGCTGCCTCCTTCCACAGTCTATGAATTTGAATCTTTAAGACCAACTGGAGTGTCTCCTTGATCCCGTGGCCAATCCCGTGATCCCTGCAGCTCCAAAAATGTTAACACCCAATTTACGATTTGATTAATCTGTTGTCTGGAGAGACGGGAATGACGGTTTGGGCTCAGTCAAAACTGCTGAGGTGTTAATGTTGTTCAAAGCGAAAGGTTTCCTTATGGCTTGCCTTTTTTTTAAAAGTGAGAATTTTTGTGCAAAGGCCTCACACACCTATTTTGCTTTCCCTTCTCCAACTTCACTTCCTTCTGTCATTTCATTTCTGAAGTGTTGCTATTCTTGTACCTACTGTATACATGTATATGCTATATGCGCTTGATAAAGGGCAACACCCCCTTCCTTTAGAGTCCAATCAGTTAGCAAGGGTTGAGCAACCAAACACTGCAGATTAACAAATTTCATAGATAAAGAAAAATCTTTTTCATTTGTATGTTTTGTGGATCTTGTACTGAGTACATTTGAATGATGTTACCAACCTAGATGAGATTTCCTCCTTATACAAAGAGCTTATATGTAATATATAAAATATTAATATACTTCAACCTGAGGATATTGGGTTTTCTTTTTTTACAATCAGTACTGTCTTTCTCCTGCTTATGTTTTGATGCCTGACATCTTCCTTCATATAGTTGCTTCTTGCCACTATAGCGTCTTTGTCCATAATATCACCAGGGTCCATAATATCGCCACCTTGAGAAACAGTGTGCTTAAAGATATTTTTACTGCAACATACTTTTGGTATGCACTCCTTATCTTTAAGCACACTATTTCTCAAGGTGGCGATATTATGGACCCTGGTGATATTATGGACACAGATGTTACATGTATGTAGCCAATCTGGATGGCACTTTTGCAGTGAGAATACATTTCCAAAGACTAAGTTGTATTATCCCTCATCCCAGTTCTTCACTGGGGTTAACTTATGAAACATAAGCAGGTGAGAGACTTGTGAAAAAAGAAAACCCCAACATCCCATGTTCTATCAACCTCACGAAATTATTTTCAGGACATCAAGACCTGTGAATACATTTTAGTTGGCCCTGGAACTTGCCCAGTAGTTTTGTACGAGGAGTCAGTTATCGTGCAGGACTCCCTTGATGAAATGAACCCAATCCATCCTACACCTCTCTGCCCATCCACAGTTAACACCCAATTTACGGCTTGATGAGCCTGTTGTCTTCAGAGGAAATGAAGTGATTGCCTGTGGTTTAAAGATCCATGTAGCGGTAAAGAACCTTGGAAAATTAAAGAACTGTAAAAGTTCACCATGGGGAGTAGCTAGCAGCTAGAACGTCTCGCCTTATGACTCCACAAGTTATTACTTTATTATGGCTCAAAGAATTCCGTAGATAAAGAACAAATCTTGTTTTGTACATTCTGATGTATTTTCATACATAAAAAACAAATATTTTTTCGCTTTTTATTTCTTTTTCTTTTAAATCATATTCCAGTTTTAAAATCAAGGGTCAAACAAAATCCAATTTTAGTCTTCAACTGTCAGTGGTCGTCTCATATTGTTGTACAAGACAGCTCTTCTGTGATACAAAGAAGACTGCTTCTAATATGTTATGAAAATATAGATGTCCTTTTTCACTGTGTACCATAGTGAAAATCATATAGAGACCGCTGACGTACATGTATATGTAGTGAACATTTAGAGTCTACAGCTTCAGAATTCTAGGGCAAATTTACAAAATTTACTAGTAGTTTTTTTTTGGAGGGAGGTTGTCATGGACTCTATCTAAACTCTCCTTTGATATTTCCATACATGTACAGTTACAGGATTATATAGATTTACGTTATTATTGTCACAATTACATGTATCATCACAGCTAAAAATTCTTGTGCATGCACTTGGATCAAGGTCCATCCATAGGCTTGTATATATTAATGTAGCACCCCCTTCCCCTACTTTTCTGTAGTCTGAGGACTTCCTAACAACTTGATCTCATATTTGAGAAAAAGGGATGAAATTGAACAGAGGCAGTGGTATACCACAGGTCATTTATCTGTTAGCTGTCACATCAATATCAATATAGGGAGTGAAAACATAGCTGCTGCCAATGGCAGGAGGGGAAGGTGATATATTGCAAGACCTTCAAAACATTTGCTTGTAAAGTGGCCCGTGTTCCGGTGTGTGCACCGTAGGTAGCCCAGGTTTCAGGGTGCTAGGTTTCCTGCAGTTGTATTTGTTTGTAAGAAAATGACAGTTGAAATACTATCAAAGAGTCTACTGCATTTGACTATAAAACACCAGATTTCCTCAAGAGCACTTTTAGAACTTACAAAGTTACTGGTCTAGATATGGATATACATTGTAATTGCATTTGGCATATTTATACACAAAGCTTACAATGCAACTTCTGGAAGCAGAGTTTGTTACTCCTTGACATAGTATTTGTAGTAATTAAAAGAACACTCATGAAAGATTTTTTTAAATGTTCTTTCTGTAACCGTTTGTTTACAATCATGATTTTGTAATTACATGTACATGTGTACATTGTTGCCACCTGTGAACATCTGAACTGTATACATGTATATCTGTTTGTTTGTTTGTTTGTTTGTTTATTTGTTAGAATTTATTTCACTTTTTGTTTTAAAAACACATGTATTTTTTGCAGACACACTGATATGTTTGTTTTCTATTACAGAATACTAGAGAGCTGGAGTGATGTGATGTCTCCTGATGCATGCTGGGAGAAAAGCTGTCACATGTACATAGAGCGGAGGTGGTGGGTCAGCCATATCATTCTGTAATCACTGTCTGTACAGCAATCAGGACTTGTACAAGTTAGAGGTGTTAGTTATTAGATTAATTCTAACATTAGCTAAGAGGAGAGATCCAATCTGGTCTTTATAGGCACACTAATAAGCATGTAGCAGAATTGGAATCACTGCAAAAGATAATAGCTAAAGATACATTGTAAGCATGTATGTTACCATATAAAGTTTTAGTACTGCATCTTCTGTTATTCCCAGTTTGTAAACAAGATATGAACAGCACGTTGGCACAGGGCTTCTTTAATCAATTTTTCAGTTCACAGATGAAGACAATATTTGTTAAGAAACTGAAGAACATTGACGAAAAGTAACGTGTACATTTGTATGATTTAATTTTAGATTATGAAGGCTGTATTGGTCAGTGATTCATATAAGCTTGTTGTTTGAGGTTGTGGATTCAGTCTAATAATAATGTACTTGTGTATGAAAACCCATACAACTAAAGAACTGTGGTTGTGAGATTTCTCGTTACTAATATTAATGAAAAAAGCAATAATGAATACATACATATAAGCTGTAAAGTGTACGTGGAGACAAATAGACGAAAAACAATTCAGTACATTCAAATGGCCCCGTTGGAAGGATTGTTTGAACTAACTACAGAATCAAGCTTGTACAATGTAAATAATGTCTACATTACAATAGAATAACCTTCTGTCAGTCATATACCATCATCATGTTATTATTGTCTTCTAACTGTTGGATTTTTCCTGAATGTTACACTGTTTTCCCTTTGTCTAGTTTTTGCTGTCGTATGATTACATCTGTGAGACGCTTTTATAAAATATAATGTCTGACAAATTATGTTGTTGATGAATGGTGCATCAATGGGACCGATAATTGTGTGGTAAACTGAGTAAAGACCCAGGGGAAGACAGCGTGCCCTAACATATATTCCTTGCCGGGTATCACCATTTGTATTGCTGTTATACAGGCACAATTAGATCCCACCCACTGATACTGTCGCTGCAGAAGGCCCGCCGCGTTCCCGACTTGTCTTCTTTGTCCTTAGGTTTGTTGGCGGCAGAGACAGCCTAATTTAGTGGGATGAGGCAGAGCCTGGGAGAGCCCGCTCCAAATGTCACCAGATCACATGCCTAATTCCGCCTGTTCTGACTTAACAAGATCTAAATGAGTTTTTACCAGCTATTTCCATCCAGCGGCAGCGCAGTAGGTCAGCGTACCCTACTAGGCTGATGCTGGCGCCGCTATGAAATTTCTCATTTTGGTGCTGAACTTTCGGCATGATGTATTAGAGACTCAAATTAATCTCCCCCCAAAGTGAAGATGACCGGAGGAAATTCCCAGTCCAATAAGCGATCGCAGATAAAACTTCATAAGATCGGTTAGTTTTGTGTCCCTCTGTGTCCTCCCCGACCATTTGCACCAACTTTTGTAATATAGATGTACAGGAGTCTCTGCACCCCAATTTCTCTTCCTCATCTGCAAGATAAATCATAATGTTGGGTATCATCCTGCTGCTCATCAGAGGAAATAACACTGCGTTTTTCAATCGCAGGTGGTTATTGCACGTCTGTATGAAACATACATCTTGTGGCGGGTGATTTATGACCCTCTCGGAAGGGCTGACACGGAGGGAGATGCCTACGCAGATACACACCCGACAATGTTATCTTTCACCAAATCATGGGGTGTAATTTATGAAGAAGCAGACGAACCTTTATCTATCCTGATAGCTATTTTCTTTGTAATTCAGCACAAATAATTACAACATTTTTCATCCACGACAAGTGTGTGAGTTTGGCTGTGGTGGCGATATTAGCCACATTTCGCGCCGTAATATTGCATGATTCCTTTGTGAAAGGGAATTTGTAGATAAGCTGTGTGAATCATTGCTCATCACAGCAAGAAGGCCGCAAACCTTGATATGAGCCTGTTCACAAAGATATGAACACCTGTCCAATAAAATTACCTTCTGATATTGGATATAGATATGGCGCCAGTATGCACAGGGCTATGACATTTTACCACGATAAACTCAGCGTTATCAGCCGCCAGGATCTTGTTCATAAAATCGCGGGAAGGAAAAATCTGCCTTAGCACTTCTTTATCGACTAGTACGTGACAAATGGGAGCCAATTTTGGAGTAATGAGGAGAATTGTGATAATGGTCATGAAAGTAACGATTATGATTAGTTATTAATCATTGTGTTGAAAGGGGCTGGAGGGGAAGGTAATACAGGTTGTAGTGGATTGTACTGATCTGTGCTTGACATGAATCAGTGGAAGGGAGGTCAGCAGAGGCAGAGCGACATGGCTTGTTAGCTCTCAGATGTAGAATGGCAGTTTAAATGGTATTAGCACCCCCAACAAGTCCAGCCACAACTACGCTTGGTTAGTGGGGTCTTAGATTGTTCCTGTGTGCAAGGCAGCTGTATCTGCTTAGATAGGTGTGGATTGGAGACAAAGATGGGTTTAAAAATGCTGTTCAGACAAATTTCTTCAGACATAGAATTGTAGGATTGGACTTTACAGTACCATTATATTATATTGTATTATCATAATGATTGTTTTTTTCTCCAGCAATATAAAAAAGTTGAGGAGATGAGACAATCCTGAATCAGCAGTCTTAGAAAAGTAAAACGCGTGTGTCATCCGTGTTTTTTCTATCGCCAGTTATCTATCCGCCTCCCTCTCCCACCAGCCATCTATCCATCTGCATTGTTCCCTGTGGTGGCGAGGTGCACTGGCACCTTGACATTTATCCAGTATTGTGTCTCAGTCGCCCCGGCTAATTCTGACAAATTCTCCCTCATTAAACGCGTCAGGCTCTGACATCTTTATTGTTCTGCCTGCCTGGCTCCTTCACGAGGCGTAGCAGCTGGGATTACGGAGGGAACTCTGGGACTTGCCACTGCCGCGACCCCCCTGCAAATCATGCGGCACAAGACAGGCATGACTGACAAGGAATATGTTTCCTGTATGGGGATAGCTTATAAGACATCGCCATGGGGAATATACGGAAAAGGTGACAATAATATTTCTACTTCCAGCACAAATGTGTATTTATTGCACAATGCAGAGGGGAAGAGATGAACATATTGCATCAAGTCTGATCAAGATAAAATCAAATGGTGAACAAGATTTATGAATCAAATATCCAGTCAAAGACCTGTTGCAAAGTGCTATCTATTGGCAGGTAAATGATGGAGCGTGTCCCCAGTCCCAATGGTTCGGAAATAAAAATTGTCACAAATTGCTACCTGGCAATATCCAGGTGAAGTGAGGCGTACGTTCCCAACTTGCAGAAGTCTTGCTCAGCTGATTTCCGTGGACAGTTTCCAACCACCACTGTTCTAAAAAGATCTGTGGCATCATCAGTCTGGTGAGTGGTCATACCTGTGGTTGCAGTTGCTGTAGTTAGTTGTCATGTGCGGTATGAAGGATGTCGGTTAGCTTGATGAATGAACCACTTTGTACTTCAGATTTGAACTGACAATGTAATGCTTGGATCTGCAGAAGACTTACAATATGTATAGTTACATTTTGTTGTCTTACTTCTCACAATTTCCTGATTAACCAAAGTTAACGTCCTCAGGTGATCACACACATGGCCACTGGGGACCAATCAAAAGCTTAGACTTTTACAGAAATTTACAATACTCAGATAATCACATGATCTCAAGGGACAAATCATGGACAGCAATTTTCCACTTGCTTGCCTTGATTAACATTGAGTGATATTGTATTTGTGCAATGCAATCAGCAACTCTGCAGTAAATCAACATGTTTCTTTGCAAAAAGGGAGCAACACCTCTGGTGGCATCCCATGCTATGAAATGAAAACAACCTAACTGCCTTCCCCCTTGTCGTAAACTACCCTCCTGTGCAAACTTTCTAGTGGGCGGTTGTTTCAATGAGTGTGGATAGAGAGTGGTATATGGGATGAGAGCTACATGTTTATCTGAGGGAGAGATGTTCAGACCATGAGTCCTTTCCCCATAAACAGTCGTGAAAAGAAACCGCTGTGCCATGATCGTAGAAACAAACGCTAACCGCTGGAAAGTTTGCACAGGAGGCTAGTCATAAACCCCTACCATAGATCTGGGCTATAATAAAGCGACTACAATCCGTCAATACAAAATCAACCAGAGGTACCTGTAGTGAAATATTGTAGACATTTCCAACAAGATTCTGGGCCAGATAACAGTGATTCATCTTGTGCAGTAATGATTTCCTTTAAAATCAACCTTGTCCAGGTTGGTTTACCCCCAGGACTGAATCTTATCTTCCAACTGGACCTGTGGCTAGGTGACACCAAACATAGCTAATGATCAGGGGACTACCCTACATTCAAGTAAGCATATGTCATTTCTGGGGTACAACTGACTGGAAGACAGTAGGTGACATTTGCCAAAATGCCATAAAGCTGCCCATAACATGCAGCCCATAACAGGTCTTAATACAGACGGTCTACTCTCACATTAAAGGCCTAAGTGCTGACATAGCACATTGGTTGATCATAGGTGGTCTGACTAGTAGATGACCTCTTCCTATAAAGACTAAGATTGCAGCTGAAAAGCACTTGTGTTGAACAGTATAATGATATGTAGAAGATGGATAGCTTGAACATCTTTTTGCATTATCATTATAGCTTTTCCAGGTTTTCTGTTTCAAGAAAAAATGTCACCAAGAAAACAGACATTGAAGAGTTTTGAAGTAGTCTTGAAATTCAGACTTTGCAGAAATATAAATCTTAGTAGGTTCAAGTCCTGACCACTCTCTTGGCTGGAGTAATGTTGGCAGGTCAATGGACCAAGTAATTTGGCTGTGTAGCCTGCAGTGCAGTGATTATCAGGCTGGATGGGTGGAACAACTTGCCCCAGTCCTGCCAGGGAGGGGGAGGGGCAGGCAGACTCATCCTGATCATGGGAGATTGCACCTGTCAATCACTGTCATCTAGACAGACAAGCTGTCACTCAAAATACTGCTCTAACCATCTCTCGCCTTTTGTGTTGAAATCATTCAACAGAGATCCACACAGACATGCAAGAGAAGTGTCTGTGCAGTAAAGATTGGGGGAAGATCAAGTTCCCATGATTCTCCTTTAGAAAAATGTACACCTGACACCCTGGGAACATGGACACCTGCCACTGAGGTCAACAAGGGCGTGGCCCTCCTGACAGGGGAGGAAATTAAAGGATTGAGGCTTGTCTCACGCTTGTCATCCACATTAGTGTCTGGTCTGGCTGTCTGCAGTATCTGGGTCTAGATACCCCCCCCCCCCCTTCCATCTTGACTTCAGGTGATGCTTAGCCTGGGTGCCAGACTGTGTCCAGGGTCTACACAGGCCAGTTCCTCAGCTGCATATCACACCCCTCAGTTAGGCCCTAATCCTGACATGCTGGCTAACTCTGGGCCTAGCATACTTTGGTTCTGGCATCCAGGCTAGGTGATACTAAGAAGTCTGCAACCACAAATTCTTTTCTTCTATTATACTATATTATATTATTCTATTATACCAAAAGTTTACTTTGAAAACTTACTCAGACTTGTGTTTCTTACAGACAGAATGATGATATAGAACTGAGGCACTAGTGTACAAAGTGAACAAATCATCAACCTTCAGCACTCATACTTACCTACCCTTATCAGTGATAGCATTTAAGTTCATCTCTGTGTTGCTTATTAATGTGACACGTGTTGGCACTCCAAGGCACCTGTAACACTTGCCTCAGTATCGATGTATGATCCAATATGACAAAGTTGTAGATTCCTCTATGTTGTGGTAAGGCATCCATACATGTAGAACTCCCCC